CCCATGGCTCCCCACAGCCCCATAGCCCCCATAGCCCCCCATAACCCCCATAGCCCCCCATAACCTCCATAGCCCCCAGAGCCCCAGAGCCCCCCACAGCCCCATAGCTCCCCATAGCCCCATAATCCCTATAGCCCTCATATCCCCCATAGCCCCCCACAGCCCCATAGCTCCCCATAGCCCCATAATCCCTATAGCCCTCATATCCCCCATAGCCCCCCATAACCCCCATGGCTCCCCACAGCCCCATAGCCCCCATAGCCCCCCATAACCCCCATAGCCCCCCACACCCCCATAGCTCCCATAGCCCCATAGCTCCCCATAGCCCCCATATCCCCCATAGCCCCTATAGCCCTCATATCCCCCATAACCCCCATAGCCCCCCATAGCCCCCCACAGCTCCCCACAGCCCCATAGCCCCCCACAGCCCCATAGCCCCCCACAGCCCCCCACAGCTCCCCACAGCCCCATAGCTCCCCATAGCCCCCCATATCCCCCATAGCCCCACATACCCCCCCACAACCCCATAGCTCCCCATAGCCCCATAATCCCTATAGCCCTCATATCCCCCATAGCCCCCCACAGCCCCCATAGCCCCCCACAGCCCCCATGTCCCCATAGCCCTCCACAGCCCCCACAGCCCCCATGTCCCCATAGCCCCCCACAGCCCCCATGTCCCCATAGCCCCCCATAACCCCCATAGCCCCCCACAGCCCCATAGCCCCCCATAGCCCCATAGCCCCATAACCCCGCATAGCTCCCCATAGCTCCCCATAGCTCCCCATAGCCCCATAGCCCCCCACAGCCCCATAGCGCCCCATAGCCCCATAGCCCCCCATAGCCCCCCATAGCCCCCCCACAGCCCCATAGCTCCCCATAGCCCCCCATAGAGCCCCATAGCCCCCATAACCCCCATAGCCCCCCACAGCCCCATAGCTCCCCATAGCCCCATAATCCCTATAGCCCTCATATCCCCCATAGCTCCACATACCCCCCCACAGCCCCATAGCTCCCCACAGCCCCATAATCCCTATAGCCCTCATATCCCCCATAGCCCCCCATAACCCCCCCATAACCCCCATAGCCCCCCATAACCCCCATAGCCCCCATAACCCCCATACCCCCCACAGCCCCATAACCCCCCATTACCCCCATAACCCCATAGCCCCCCACAGCCCCATAGCCCCCATACCCCCCCACAGCCCCCTCACCCTCAGCACGAGCTTCACGTGGAGGCGGCTCCGAGGCCCCGCCCCCTGGAGCGGGAAGGGCCCCGCCAGGCTCAGCCCGGGCGCCTCCAGCAGCTGCGAGAGCGGCAGCGAGAGCGCCCCCAGCGGTGCGGGGGGGGAATCGTCCCGGAGCTGGGGGGAGAGGGGGAAATGGGGGGGAAATGGGGTGAATGGGGGTCACTGGGGTGTGAATGGGGGTCACTGATGGGTGTGAATGGGGTCAATGGGGTGTGAATGGGGGTCAATGGGGTGTGAATGGGGTCACTGGGTGTGAATGGGGGGGAAATGGGGTGAATGGGGGTCAATGGGGTGTGAATGGGGTCACTGGGGTGAATGGGGGTCACTGATGGGTGTGAATGGGGGTCAATGGGGTGTGAATGGGGTCACTGGGGTGTGAATGGGGGTCACTGATGGGTGTGAATGGGGGTCAATGGGGTGTGAATGGGGGTCACTGGGGTGTGAATGGGGGTCAATGGGGTGAATGGGGGTCACTGATGGGTGTGAATGGGGGGGAAATGGGGTGAATGGGGGTCAATGGGGTGTGAATGGGGGTCACTGGGGTGTGAATGGGGGTCAATGGGGTGTGAATGGGGGGGAAATGGGGTGAATGGGGGTCACTGATGGGTGTGAATGGGGGTCACTGGGGTGTGAATGGGGGTCACTGGGGTGAATGGGGGTCACTGGGGTGTGAATGGGGGTCACTGGGGTGAATGGGGGTCACTGGGGTGTGAATGGGGGTCACTGGGGTGTGAATGGGGTCACTGGGGTGTGAATGGGGGTCACTGATGGGTGTGAATGGGGGGGAAATGGTGTGAATGGGGGTCACTGATGGGTGTGAATGGGGGTCACTGATGGGTGTGAATGGGGGTCACTGATGGGTGTGAATGGGGTCACTGGGGTGTGAATGGGGGTCACTGGGGTGTGAATGGGGGTCACTGATGGGTGTGAATGGGGGTCACTGGGGTGTGAATGGGGGTCACTGATGGGTGTGAATGGGGATCACTGATGGGAGTGAATGGGGGTCACTGGGGTGTGAATGGGGGGGAAATGGTGTGAATGGGGGTCAATGGGGTGTGAATGGGGGTCACTGGGGTGTGAATGGGGGTCACTGGGGTGTGAATGGGGGTCAATGGGGTGTGAATGGGGGTCACTGATGGGTGTGAATGGGGGTCACTGGGGTGTGAATGGGGGTCACTGGGTGTGAATGGGGGTCACCGGGGTGTGAATGGGGGTCACTGATGGGTGTGAATGGGGGTCAATGGGGTGTGAATGGGGGTCACTGATGGGTGTGAATGGGGGTCACTGGGGTGTGAATGGGGGTCAATGGGGTGTGAATGGGGGTCACTGATGGGTGTGAATGGGGGTCACTGGGGTGTGAATGGGGGTCAATGGGGTGTGAATGGGGGTCACTGATGGGTGTGAATGGGGGTCACTGGGGTGTGAATGGGGGTCAATGGGGTGTGAATGGGGGTCACTGGGTGTGAATGGGGTCACTGATGGGTGTGAATGGGGGTCACTGATGGGTGTGAATGGGGGTCACTGGGGTGTGAATGGGGGTCAATGGGGTGTGAATGGGGGTCACTGATGGGTGTGAATGGGGGTCACTGGGGTGTGAATGGGGGTCACTGATGGGTGTGAATGGGGGTCACTGATGGGTGTGAATGGGGGTCACTGATGGGTGTGAATGGGGTCAATGGGGTGTGAATGGGGGTCAATGGGGGGTGTGAATGGGGGTCAATGGGGTGTGAATGGGGGTCACTGGGGTGTGAATGGGGGTCACTGGGGTGTGAATGGGGTCAATGGGGTGTGAATGGGGGTCAATGGGGTGTGAATGGGGGTCACTGGGGTGTGAATGGGGGTCACTGGGGTGTGAATGGGGGTCACTGATGGGTGTGAATGGGGGTCACTGATGGGTGTGAATGGGGTCAATGGGGTGTGAATGGGGGTCACTGGGGGGTGTGAATGGGGGTCAATGGGGTGTGAATGGGGGTCACTGATGGATGTGAATGGGGGTCACTGGGGTGTGAATGGGGTCACTGGGGTGTGAATGGGGGTCACTGATGGGTGTGAATGGGGTCAATGGGGTGTGAATGGGGGTCACTGATGGGTGTGAATGGGGGTCACTGATGGGTGTGAATGGGGTCACTGAGGTGTGAATGGGGGTCACTGGGGTGTGAATGGGGGTCACTGGGGTGAATGGGGGTCACTGATGGGTGTGAATGGGGGTCACTGGGGTGTGAATGGGGGTCACTGGGGTGAATGGGGGTCACTGATGGGTGTGAATGGGGGTCACTGATGGGTGTGAATGGGGGTCAATGGGGTGTGAATGGGGTCACTGGGGTGTAAATGGGGGTCAATGGGGTGTGAATGGGGGGAAATGGTGTGAATGGGGGTCACTGATGGGTGTGAATGGGGGTCACTGGGGTGTGAATGGGGGTCACTGGGGGTGTGAATGGGGGTCAATGGGGTGTGAATGGGGGTCACTGGGTGTGAATGGGGTCACTGATGGGTGTGAATGGGGGTCACTGATGGGTGTGAATGGGGTCAATGGGGTGTGAATGGGGGTCACTGGGGTGTGAATGGGGGTCACTGGGGTGTGAATGGGGTCACTGATGGGTGTGAATGGGGGTCACTGGGGTGTGAATGGGGGTCATTGATGGGTGTGAATGGGGGTCAATGGGGTGTGAATGGGGGTCAATGGTGTGTATGGGGGTCACTGATGGGTGTGAATGGGGTCAATGGGGGGTGAATGGGGGTCACTGATGGGTGTGAATGGGGGTCACTGGGGTGTGAATGGGGTCACTGCTGGGTGTGAATGGGGGTCAATGGGGTGTGAATGGGGTCCCTGTGGGGCCGCACCTGGAATTCCACCTCCAGCCTGCGGGGGTCGGGCAGGAAGAACCTGAAGGCTTCGTCCCAGAGCGGGGCCGCGGTGCCGGGAACCACCTGGGGGGGGCGCAGTGGGGTCAGGACCCCCCCTCCCCCCGCCCCCCTCCCCCCCTCCGCCCCCCCCGGTCCCACCTTGCTCTCCCGGGTCACGTCCTGCACCGACACCTGCACCATGGGGCTGGGAGCGCGGCCCGGCTTCCGCGCCTGCACGCACCGGGGGGAGGGGGGGCTGCATCCCTGCCCCACCCCCACATCCCTGCCCCACCCCCACATCCCTGACCCCACCCCCACATCCCTGCCCCCCACCCCCACATCCCTGCCCCCCACCCCCACATCCCTGCCCCCACCCCCACATCCCTGACCCCCCACATCCCTGCCCCCCACCCCCACATCCCTGCCCCACCCCCACATCCCTGCCCCCACCCCCACATCCCTGCCCCACCCCCACATCCCTGCCCCCACCCCCACATCCCTGCCCCACCCCCACATCCCTGACCCCCCACATCCCTGCCCCCACCCCCACATCCCTGCCCCCACCCCAACATCCCTGCCCCACCCCCACATCCCTGCCCCCACCCCCACATCCCTGCCCCCACCCCCACCCTGCCCCCCCACATCCCTGACCCCCGCACATCCCTGCCCCCCACCCCCATATCCCTGACCCCCCACATCCCTGCCCCCACCCCCACATCCCTGCCCCCCCCACCCTGCCCCCCCACTTCCCTCCCCCACCCCCACATCCCTGCCCCCCATCCCTGTCCCCCCCCAATCCCCTCCCCCCCCCACCGGCAGCTCCTCTGCCCGCTCCAGGTACACCATGAGGATGGCGGCCGAGGGGGGGTCGGGTTTGCCCTGGATCGTCCGGTTCCTCTCCAGAACCTGTCAGAGATGTGGGACCCCCCCATTGACCCCATTATTGCCCCTCCCCCATTGACCCCATTATTGCCCCTCCCCCACTGACCCCATTATTGCCCCTCCCCCATTGACCCCATTATTGCCCCTCCCCCATTGACCCCATTATTGCCCCTCCCCCCATTGACCCCATTATTGCCCCTCCCCCCATTGACCCCATTATTGCCCCTCCCCCCATTGACCCCATTATTGCCCCTCCCCCATTGACCCCATTATTGCCCCTGCCCCCATTGACCCCATTATTGCCCCTCCCCCACTGACCCCATTATTGCCCCTCCCCCCATTGACCCCATTATTGCCCCTCCCCCATTGACCCCATTATTGCCCCTCCCCCCATTGACCCCATTATTGCCCCTCCCCCCATTGACCCCATTATTGCCCCTCCCCCCACTGACCCCCATTATTGCCCCTCCCCCCATTGACCCCCATTATTGCCCCTCCCCCCACTTGACCCCATTATTGCCCCTCCCCCCATTGACCCCATTATTGCCCCTCCCCCCATTGACCCCATTATTGCCCCTCCCCCCATTGCCCCCCATTATTGCCCCTCCCCCCATTGACCCCATTATTGCCTCTGCCCCCCATTGACCCCATTATTGCCCCTCCCCCCATTGACCCCATTATTGCCCCTCCCCCATTGACCCCATTATTGCCCCTCCCCCCACTGACCCCCATTATTGCCCCTCCGCACTGACCCCATTATTGCCCCTCCCCCCATTGACCCCATTATTGCCCCTCCCCCTACTGATCCCCATTATTGCCCCTCCCCCATTATTGCCCCTCCCCCCACTGACCCCATTATTGTCTCTGCCCCCCATTGCCCCCCATTATTGCCTCTGCCCCCAATGCCCTCCCATTGCCCCCTATTATTACCTCTGCCCCCCATTATTGCCCCTGCCCCCCATTGACCCCATTATTGCCCCTCCCCCCATTGCCCCCCATTATTGCCCCTGCCCCCCACTGACCCCATTATTGCCCCTCCCCCCCATTGACCCCCATTATTGCCCCTCCCCCCACTGACCCCATTATTGCCCCTCCCCCCATTGACCCCATTATTGCCCCTCCCCCCATTGCCCCCCATTATTGCCCCTGCCCCCCACCTCCTCCAACTTGGAGGCATCCGCCAGGGGGCGGAGCCACTCCAGGCGCAGGTGGAGCCGGCCCTGCCCCCCCTCCTGCAGCGGGAACCACTGTGGGGCGGGGGGAGGGGGGGGGGGTCAGCAATGGGGCTGCCCCACAGCGCCCCCCCCACCCCACCCCAGCGGCCCCCAACCCGGACCCACATCCTCCACCACCCGGCGCTTCATCACATCCTCCAGGTCCAGCTTCAGCCTATGGGGGTTATGGGGGGAGGGGAGGTGTAAGATGTGGGGCTGGGGGGGGGATGCAGACACACACCCCCCACACCCCCCCCCCGCCCCATTGGTACCTGCCCAAGAGGTCGTCCTGGTCCGGGTCCTTGTCAAAGAGCTCCACCTCCAGCTCCTGCCCCGGCACCTCGTGCACCACGAACTGGGGGGCACCCCCCATGCACAGCGGGGGGGGGATCAGTGGGGTGAGGAGGGGGGGTCCCCACAGCATCAATGGGGGTCTCTGGGCACCCCATAACCATGCCCATGATGGTGGGGCTATGGGGCTATGTGGGATATGAGGGCTATAAGGGCTATGGGGCAATGGGGGCTGTGAGGCTATGAGGGATATGAGGGCTATGGGGGCTATAAGGGCTATGGGGCAATGGGGGCTGTGAGGCTATGTGGGATATGAGGGCTATTGGGGCTCTGGGGTTATGGGGGTTATGGGGGCTCTGGGGCCATGGGGGCTATGGGGCTATGGGGTCTATGGGGCTATGGTGTCTATGGGTCTGTGGGTCCATGTGGGCTATGGGGCTATGGGGTCTATGGGGCTATGGGTCCATGTGGGCTATGGGGCTATGGGTCTATGGGTCTATGGGTCTGTGGGTCCATGTGGGCTATGGGGTCTGTGGGTCTATGGGGCTATGGGGTCTGTGGGTCCATGTGGGCTATGGGGCTATGGTGTCTATGGGTCTGTGGGTCTATGGGTCCATGTGGGCTATGGGGCTATGGGGCTATGGTGTCTATGGGTCTATGGAGCCATGGGGCCATGGGTCTGTGGGTCCATGTGGGCT